AAAATTAAAATATACATCAGACGGATGGTAAATCCGATTTCGTTTTATCGATAGTTGTTAACGATGGTGAAGATAATAATGGACTTTTGAGAACTGTTCTTGATTCTTGCTCGATATCAATTAATGATGAACTATTTAATTGATTTAATGATGATGAAGGTGATGGATGAGTCGTTGGTGTATACTGTTGTTGTTGAAAACGTTGTCCTAATTTCGTTAAATTTTTCAAACGATTTTTGATTTGTTTATAACGGCAACATAATAAACATGGTGCAGTTATGATAAGAAATGGAATAGTTATGAGAAATAAAAGAGTTAAGCCAATAAAAATACCAACAATAGTAAGACGATGAAAAAATAAGGACGCACGAGAATGGCCAAGTCTAAACAAACAAAAAGAAAATCATATATTTAATCTTCACTCATTCTCTAATAAGAGAACATTCCCAACTGAAGGATCGCTTTTGAGTTCGAGCTTCGTGCATAAGGTAGATCCCAATAAGGTATGAAAAGCCTCAAAATGACAAGTGCCCATAGGCCTTCTGTCCAGAGTTATAGGCAATATACTGAAGTTTTAGTCTATGGCATGGTATGTTTATATAAATCAAATGACGGTATTTCGACCTGAAATTTTGCCCACAGAGAGGTCTATTGGTGATTAGAATACCCTGAGAATTTCAGCTTAAAAAAACGATTCCCTCTCGAGATATTAAAATTTCAAAAAACAGAAATGTCTAGTGTCTTTCGTGGAATACGCGTGATTTTTTGACACTTTAATATCTCGAAAAGGAATCACTCTTTGAGCTGAAATTTTCAGAGTATTCTAGTCACCAACAGACCTCTCTGTGGGCAAAATTTCAGTATATTGCCTATGGGCACTTGTCCTTTTGAGGTTTTTCATACCTCATCGGGATCTACCTTATGCACGGAGCTCGAACTCAAAAGTGATCCTTCAGTTGAGGATGTTTCCTCGTAAGTTTTATATATATGAGAAGATCTTCTTACCGATTTCGACAAGGTCCACGTTCAAAATGTAATAGGAAAAAATCATTCTAAAAAAAGGAAATTTCTTTTTTGAATAATTTCAAAATATTATCTATTTATAATTACATCAAGTGATTTTAAACAATACCAACAGAAAATATGTTTACAATTAACACACATAATTTGTGCACAACCCGCAATCCATTCTAATGGAAAACGACATCGTGGACAACGTTTTATATTTGAATCAGGCTCCATTTCATATGGTGTACTAGAATAGAATTAATAATTTCTTTTACAAAATTTGTTTTTTTGAATAAAATACATACAGTAAATCGGAACAATGTTTATTTGGATGCCATTGTGAACGACATTTTAAACAAAATGTTGTTTGACACTATATATGTAATTGAAATAAATTATTATCAAATTCCATTTTATTTACTTTTGTACAAGTCATCGGATATTCTTTCCGAGTTTTTCTTTCATCAGCTATCGACAATATATGACCACAATCAACATGTGGACAAAAAAGACGATGAGGATCATTTGTTACTTCTAAATTAAAAAAAATCTTTAAACAACAAACACAAAAAACAAAAAATCTTATACCATGATCAAGTAAAAGTTTATTATAAAGTTGAAATTGTGAATCAGGAAGTAGAATACTAAGCTAAAAGAATAATTCATATTATTTTCATTGAAAATTAATTTCATCACCTCATTTAAAGATAATTGATTATTGCACTCACCATTTGGACATATAATTGGTACCAATCTAAATAGATAAAAATTAGTTTTACAAAAAAAAATATGAATTATATTACGCTGTATTTATTTGACTGGTACAATACTGATATACACACTAAAATCAAAAAAGAATTATTTTTTGAAAAATATTAAAATGAAAATCTACCTCTTTACAAAATTGACAATGACAGGATTCGATTTCATATACATTCTTTTGATCATTAATATTATTACAACAAATTGAACATTGAAATATAGTTTCATCACATAATTTTACTCTTTCTTCAACCATTCTTCTTAGTTTTCATCGGAAAAAGAAAAGAATACGATTTTTTTTTAATAAAAAATATAAAACATTAAGTGTTGTATTTTTATATATGTATATATTTTTGTCCTTCTCTTCTAACATAAACAAACAGACATTCACATGAATATACTGTTCAAATACAAAATCAACAGTTTACATTTGCTTGGCTATGCTTATAATCAACATATATGTTCAAAAATAATAAACGACTAAATCAAAAAAAAATGAAGAAAACAGTTTCTCTTACTTTCGGATCAGAAAATCCGTACTAGAATACAGAACAAGAAAAACGACTAAAGTATTCAATGATATATTCACGCTTATTTTATCTTTTGTTTCCGACACAAAACAAAACAAAAAAGAAGAAAAATCGCTACCATAAATGAAATATCAATATATACACACATCTATGAATATTTGGTCGGAACAATAAAACAGCTGAGAAAATATCACACATATGAAATCATCTACGGAAGTAATTAACATGTGATAAATTTATTTTGTCTATTGTCTAACTTGTTAATGGAGTTATCTATATAGAAAAATACAAAATTTTAAAGTTTAGTTTTTTTTTAAATGGATTTTACATCTGAGGTTATATTATTTATCGTTGTGTCATGTTCTTCTGATATGTTTGTAGTCTAGAAAGAACGACATGATATGATTTAATTGAATATTTTCATTTGAAACATACTTTAGGTTCAGTAGTAGAATCATCTTCTTTTATTTTGTCACTTTCGTCTTCATTTTGTTCCATGGTTTCAACAGGCGCAGGTAAATCTTCTTGTTCAGTTTTTTCAATAGGCTTTACGTTTGCTTTTTTACGACCACGTCTTGTCGTTGAAGGACCTTTAGAATAGAGGAAAAACGTCTTGCATATTATCTTTTGACCTACTGTTAATCTCATAGATTATCACTTTATTCAAATACTATCATCGTAGACTTTAAAGATAAAGACTAAATATTTGTCAAAAAAGCAAAGACAGAATCAGTGAAATAACTCTTACACCGAGGTGCAGAAACTCAACCAAAAATTTCCCCTCACACGCACGGGGGCGCACGAGGAAGACTCTGCTCTTACACATCTAACGTTATTTAGACGAACAATCTGAGAAATTCCAATTAATTAGGGTCGAGATAGTATTCATAGTAATTAACTTTTGTAAATAATTGAAAAATCCTGTTAGTTTATTTTTGTTTTGTAAGTGAAGAGGATTCACAATAATATTAAGGCTTTATGAAAGAGAAAAATGTAATCATGCTACTTTTGATGAAAATAGTTAGTTTTCTTAATGAGAAATAGGATGATGGTTTAATTGTATGTATTATTATAAATTTCGAAATCAACAAACCTCGTTTTCTTTTATGAGAACTTGTACTTCGTGAACGTTTAACTGATGATCGTTTCTTTGGTGTTTTCTTTCCAGGTTGATAAGCAAAATCATCAGGATCATCTTTCATACGTACAACACGTTCTTCTTCACTATCAATATAATCATCATCTGATTCTATTCTATCTTCATCGTCATCTTCTTCTTCTTCTTCTTCTTCTTCATTAAAAATTTCATCATCATCATTATCATCCTCACCACCATCCTAAAATAAAATTAATTAATTAATTGCAAATATGATTTTCGTTTTATTTTACTTCATTATCTTCTTCATCTGTAGGAATTGATTCTTTTGAATTGGTGCTAGTTTTATTCAACGTACGCATAGACATTTTCCGTTCCGGTATTGGTTTGCCTTCATCAACTGGTTTCATTAAAAATTGTAATATTCGTTCAGCATGTTCATCATTACGACCAGTTGTTGGTAGACCAAGTATATCTGAAATTGCTTGTAATTGATCTTTTTTTAATCTAAACAAATCCAAAACAAGATTTTAATAATTATTATATTATCCAATTTACTTTATTATATTGCTTAAATATCGTTGATATTCATCATTATCTTCTTCAAAGTCAAATCCATTAAATTCTCGAAGTTTTTCAAGCATATTTGATTTATTCTAAGAAAATCAAATTATTTTAAATTCTAAAATAATTATTTTATGTTTTACTGCTCGTCGTCCAAAACATATATTACGTATAAGAGATAAAACATCAGTTGATCCATGCGTTATTTGATAATTAACTAAATATTAACATAATATAACCCGTCATTTTTTTGCAAATAAGTTTACATACTGTATTCAATTTCTCCTAAAGATTTACCATGACCCTAGAAAGAAAAAAATCGAAGGCTATATAAAATTGATTGGTTCCTATAAAAAGAGTTTCATAGACTTAATCGATTAGGTAAATACACCAAAAGAAAAAAAGACCTTCGTTTTTAATATGAAACATAAATTTGTAAGAAATAATCAATTTACCTGAGGAATCGATATGTCTTTTTTCGGTGGAGCTAATTCAGATAATTCAAGACGTAATGTTGGTTTTCGTGAACGTTTTCCTTCAACAATAATTGGCTGTTCGAATAATGGTTGAGTATCAATTGTCGGATCATTATTTAAATTTTCATTTTTAATATCGGATATATCTCGTTTTTTTCTTCCAGCACGTTTTGGTTTTTCAATATTTATTTGTTCATTATCATCTTCGGTTTTTTGTAATACTGTTTCATTAATAGGATTGATTAATACTGTTGATTCTTTTTCATTTATAGATATATCATTATTTTCATTTATGTCATTTGCTTGAATAATATTTAATTCGTTTTCACTTGTCATTATTTAAAGTACAAGGAAATATTAATCTAAAAATAGAAAAAATTATTTTCTCATTAAGAATTAAGTGATTTCATTTTAATTCTTCCTCCATCCATAAGACTACTATTTATCAATGAACCAATAACAAAACAATGTTTTTATAGATGGCGTATCTATGCGATAGGATTTTTTTTCTTTTTTTTCTTTTTCTGTTCATAACAAAACAAAACAAAAAAACAGGCAAAATATTTATCTTTTTCTAGTTCTTTTTGATGATTGATTTGCACCTGCAGGCGCACGTTTATTATTCGTAGGTGCATGCTTAGTATTTGTAGGTGCACGTTTCGTATGTTTAGATTTACTACTTTGTCGTTGATTTTTGTAATTCGTTCGACCACCTTTACGCATTTGACGTGCTTTTTGTAATGATTGTTTTTTACGTGTTTCAGTACGTTTCTTCATAATTTGTTCAGGTTTTTTCAATTCTGAATGACTTGGCATTTTTTGGCCTTTAGATTTTAATTGCGTCTTTTGTCGATTCATTAATTGTGTTACACGTTGTTGAAATTGTCCTAAAGAAAAAACTATATTAGATAAGAAAAAGAAATAGATTTATATGATCCATACGTGGTTTCTTTTGTGCACTGGATGCTTCATCATCATTTACATAATCTTCAGTTTTAGTTCGACGACTATCCGGTAATTCTTTATCCAAAACTTTTGATTTATTGAGCCATTTTTTTATAACTAAAAAATAGATTAAAGATTTTTATGAGAAAGGCAATAAAAACTTAGGCAGGGGTGTACCGAGGGTGGAGCATGTGATGCTCCCGTGATTCTAGAATTTACGTTGAAAATATGACATGTATACACTATACGCCTCCTCTACTTTCGACACCTCGGTACGCCCCCGGATCAAATATTATTAGGAATGATATTCTTTTAATAGATTTATTAAACGGATATTTTTTAAAAATTTCAACATACACATCTGTTTTATACGATGCTTGAATCCATTGTCCACTTTCAGTTTTAACTTTTTTTGTTTTTGCATCAGTTTGACCAACAGTTACGAATTTCTTCTTCTTTCGATCCCTATATTAGAAATATAGTAAAATAAAAATAAATATTTTTTTTTTGTGTAAGAAATTCACCATTTGGTTTTTTGTATCATTGGACCTTTGCGATGAGTTCCATCATCATTTGCTAAATCCATAACTGCTGCAGTTGTTTGACGTTCAAAGGATTGAATTTCTAACCCTTGTTCTCGTTTGAAATCAGGTGGTTGATATGGAATAAAAAATTCTTTATCAACTTCTCGTCGATTTTTCTTCTTCTTCTTTTTTGGTGATTCCATATCATCATAATTCATATCATTTGCTCCTTTAATAGTTATTGTCAAATTATCTACCTAAATTAATTAAATAATTAATTAATTAATTAATTATATTATTTAATTATCTAACTTCAAGTGTTTTTTTGTGATCATCATCATCACTATCAGAATGATTATTTTGTAATGATTGTTCTTTTTGATCATGTTTGAAAATAAGTCTTTCATCATGAGCACGTTTTCGTTTCATAATTTGACAGGCAGTATTACCTGCTGATGGATTCACTTCGAAGATTGTCTATAAAATAAAGAAAGTTCATTTAAAAAATCGAAATTTTCTTTCTGTAGATTTTTGTCTAATATATTTTCCTATAAGATATTCTCAAAAATACACATAAAATTTATTCCCCATAAGAACAGAAATGTTGTGTCTCTAATATCGATATACGTTTGACATTTACAAGGTTTGTTGACTCATCTACCTGAGTAGCTTATGAATTTCTCTAAAATCAATTTGTATGTCGTTTTAAATCTTAATACAATTATTCGAAAGAAAACATGCACAACTAAAATTTCGATTATTTGTCTGATCATATGAGAAAACGTGAATCGTTAACTTACATTTTTTGCTCGAAATGATTTTAATTGTTGTATAAGTGGATTTGGTGTTAATTCTTCAACAGTATAATTCTGTCGAAATATTGGATGCATAGGCATATTAGAAATTTCTTTATGATATTGTTTCATTTGTTTAACAGATGCATATGTTGATGCTGGTCGTGATCGAATATAATGTTGATATGCATTTTGTTGTACTTGATATAAATTAACTAAATCAACATTTATTTCAGCTAATTTTCTAATTGTTTCGGATTCTTCATCAATTATTGTTTGTGGAACATTTCCAAATAATAAATGAAAATCATCATCATTATCTTCATCATCTTTTGTAGTAAATTTTATTGTTTTACCAATAAATTCTTGTACATCAAATAAATATGATATTTCATCGGTGCATATTAGCGAATAAGCTGTACCCGCACGTCCAGCACGTGCAACACGACCAACACGATGAAGAAATATTTTAGGTGTAGATGGAAAATGATAATTAATAACATTATCAAGTGATGGAATATCCAATCCTCTAGCAGCAATATCAGTAACAATTAAAACTCGCGCTTTACCAGTTTGATATCTTGAAAGATTAATTTTTCTTGTTGAATGATCAAGTGTAGAATAAATTGTAACTGCTGAAAATAAATTTTGTTGTTGTTGTTGTTCAAGTAATTCTTTTAAATATTCACAATGATGACGTGTACCAACGAATAAAACAATTTGTTGATCGGATGGTATTACTGTACGAAGAAGATGTAAAAGTAATGATGTTTTATCATCATGACGTACATGAAAAAAAATTAATTTTAAATGTTCATTTAATTTCATTTCAATATCAAGACGAATTAATTCCGGTTCATAAAGACCTGCTTTAGCAAATTCAGCAAGAATTTTTGATAATGTTGCTGAAAATAATAATGTTTGACGTTGTGATGGTAAACGTTTTATTATATCATTTAATTGTTCTTGAAAACCCATTTCAAATAAACTATATAGAAATAATATTTTATTAAATAAAAAAAATTAAGAAATAACATTAATTTACCGATCTGCTTCATCAAATACAACATATTTAACATCGTGTAATTTAAGATCCATTTCAATACATATATGCATAAAACGACCAGGTGTTGCAATAATTCTTTAAGAGAACAAAAAACAATAATAGAAAAATATTTGTATTAATAAACATACATATCTGGATGAGCATGTAAATTACTGAATTGTTCTTCGATTCTACAAATAAATATAGGTAATAAGAGAATATTTAATGAAAATTTAATTACCGTTCACCACCAAGAATAGCTGTTGGAATAAGATCAGTTAAATTTCCAATCTAAATTTTTGAATCGATATGATGAATTAAAAGAAAATGTTTTTTTTATTATACTTGTTGTGTAAATTTAAGTGTTTGTAAAGCTAATTCACGAGTTGGTGACAGAATAAGTGCGCGTGGACCAGAATTTGGATCATGTCCTTTTAATTTTTCAAACATTGGAATAAGAAATGCTGCAGTTTTCCCACTACCAGTACGTGCCATTGCTACAACATCTTTATTTTTCAATATCACCGGAATTGCCTAAAATTATTTCATTAATAAAAAAATAAACAAACAAATTAATCGATTAATATGCCATACTTTACGTTGAATTGGTGTTGGAACTTTATAGCCACGTTTCATAATAGCTTTGAATATAGGTGCTGACAATCCTGAATAAAATAATTATCATCATAATGCTAAACAGTCCTTATGTGATACTTTCATTTATCATCGTTATAAAATAACGAGAATGAGTGATTACTAAATTTTAGTTTTCTTAAAATTGGTCTAGAATATCAGAATTTAATCTCGCATTTTTTCTTCTGACCTTTAAATATCAACGTAGACATTTGTTTTGGTATTTTCGTCAAAAAAACTCATTCTAATGGTATTAACCTTTTCACTCTAAGTCATAACACAAAAACATACCAAATGATTGAAATCCACCAGATTTGCTTTTCTTTTTTAATTTTCGATTTTTCTTTTCATTCATTTCTCCATCAAATGTCAAGTCTAAATAAAATAATAATATTCGAATAAAAAAACAAATACTAAAAATTTCTATACCTTGATTAAAGTCTTCGTCAGCCATTTTTCTGATCTAGAATTATTAAAAATAAAATAATGTTTTTATTAAAATGGAATGCTATGTATTCATTAGTTTAGCAAAATAATAATAATAATAAAGCATTGAAAATTACAGTAAACAAAAAAAATATATATATCTGTTCATTAGAAGGAAAATTTAATCTTGATCTTTTCGTCCATATTTAAGAATTTTAACGAATTCTTGATAATCAAAAAGACCATTTTTAATTGGAGCATCTTTAAACAATTCATCAACTTCTTCATCGGTATAACGATCACCCATAGTCATTAATAAATCACGTAAACGATCTTCACTTATTTTTCCTGTACGTTCTTCATCTAATGCTAAAAAAGCATTACGTATAACATCTTCAGGATCGGAACCCGTTAATTTTTCACCGAATAATGTTAAAAACACTAGAAAAAATAAAATATATAAGATGAATTTTTCTATTTCAAATTTACTAGTAAAATTAATATCGCCTGGTGCTTCACGAATCATTGCTTCAAGTTCTGCATTTGGAACGTCTTTACCCAATGAAGCAAACATATCCCGTAAATCATCACTACTAATAAAACCATCCTAAAAAAACATTTCGCAATAAAAATCAAAAAAATGAATATTTCAATACAAACTCGATCATGATCAATAATATTAAAAGCTTCTTTAAATTCTTGTATTTGCGATTGATCAAACATCGCAAAGATATTTGATGTAGCGCGTGTTTGGCGCTTTTTAGCGGGTAGTTTGGCTTTAAGACGAGCTGCCATTTGAAGATGATAATTCAAAAATGATTGAAAATTCGTCTTATTTACTTTTTTGCTTCTTACTCATCGACATAATTACAGATGTCACTGTAAACATAAAAATCATTTTTATTGATTAATTATGAAAGATTTTTTACAAAATAATTCATATGAATATTTTAAATAGATTTTAATAATTTCTTTTTCGTAATTTTTTTTAAATACTTATCTATTGGTTAGAAGAAAAGAGGCAACAACAACATGTCAGATTGATTGATTGACCGATATAGAAAAAGGAATCTTTTATGAATAATTGACTTGTTCAATAATCTTTAAAGATAAAGAGGTTAAAAATCTTAATTATAGAATTATTTTATCTGAATTTTTATTATTTCAAGGCGTGGTGTGTTTGTTTGATAATTTAGTTGAAATTTATCTAGTTTATCAAACATAATGCCATCATCATCTCATTTATCAAATTCAAATGATCAATGTGATCACTGTCATACGACATATACTATAGTCAAAAGAAAAGTAAATTGATTTTTATTCTATTTAAGACAAATTATTTTCATGTGTTTTTTTTTCTTCTTCTTAGAAAAGTTGTGCTGTATGTCGTCAATATTATTGTACAAGTTGTGCACCACGTGAACGTCATTATAATCAACCACATCGTATATGTTTGATATGTCAACTAATATCGAGTGATTCAACAACAGATGAACAATTATTAGCATTAAAAGTTAAACATTTAAGGTGCTACTTACAGGCGAAAAATATATCTTATCATACATGTACAGAAAAACAAGAACTTGTCGATTTAATTGTAAGAAATAGACATTTACCGTTTACACGTTTATTTATTCAACAACAACAACAACAACAAGCACAACAAACTTCAACTTCTTATCCTCCACCTCCTTCACAACCACAGCCACAACCACCACCACCGCCACCGTCAGCGTCATCATCATCATCAGCAACGACAACAAATTCAAATCAACAACAACAGCAATTTCATACAACATTTAATCAATTTTCAACATCCACAAGTGCTTCCTCATCTACCTCATCATCCTCTTCTTCTTCATCCTCAACAACGTCAACTGCTATGCCACCACCACCACCACCACCTCCTCCTCAACCACCAAAACATGGAAATTTTACAAATTTTCAACATACAATGTCATCGTTTGCTAGTCAAATGAATCATTTTGCTGCTAATTTACAAGATTACGTCACAAATACAGTATCTGGTGTTCTACATCATGCACTCGGCGATCATCAACAAACAACAACAACGACGACGACCACAAATAATGGAAATGGAACATCATCAACATTTAATTTCGGTACAACTACGAATGGACCATTTACATATAGTTTTACATCTCCGGGAAATTTTGTTTATACAACAACAACAAATAGCACAACAGCTAGTCCACAACAACAGAGAAGAAATACCACAACAACAACAACTACAACAAATGAAACAACAGCTAGTTCTAATACGGTACGTATCCATTTCTAGAAAGAAAAATTTATTGAAACTACATTGAGTTGTTAAATTACAAATATAGTTTATATCTTTTTTTTTTGTTTTCAGCAGCAACAAGCAACCACAACTCAGCGACCACGTCGAAAATCTCTTAGTGAATTAAATAATGAACAAAATATTGAAGATTTAAGTGTTCGAGAATTAAAAGAAATTTTAGTAGCAAATTTTGTCGATTATAAAGGATGTGTTGAAAAAAATGAATTAATTGAAAAAGTTCGAAGACTTTATCGTGATCGACAAAATGAAAAAATCAAAGGTTAATTTAGCTTTTTTTTTTCTTTTTTCAAAAAAACAATTAAATTTCTTTTCAGCTAAAGAACTTGATAGTGCAACAGCGAGCGATAGTGAATTATGTAAAGTATGCATGGATGCCATTGCTGATTGTGTATTTTTAGATTGTGGTCATATGGTAAGTCAAAAAAACATCTCTTATTAATTTTTCAATCGAATAAAATAATGATCAAAAGAAAAATGATTCATATCATAATTAATTTATAATATAAGATACTATCTAATTGATTATTTTTAATCATAGTTAAGTCTATTTTGATGAGTTACTTATCTCATTGTCGATTTTGTTCTGTTGCTTGAAATAGACAAGAACAGAAGAGAACAAAAAAAAGAATGTTGATCTCTATGGTGATAATGCAGATTTTTGTTCCTTCTTCTTTTTCTATAATTATGTGTCTAATAAAAACTAATCTAAAATCTTTTTTTTTCTATTCTTCTTCCTTTTTAGGTGACATGTGTCAAATGTGGAAAATTACTCGCCGAATGTCCAATTTGTCGATCGAATATTGTTCGTGTAGTTCGTGTATTCAAATCATAAGACCTTGATTTTTTAATGTATCTGTATAGCCTGTTTAATGAAAAGAAAAAAATAACAACAAAAAGACTTATTACACGATTATGAACAAGATCATTCCAGTTTAATTTTCATTTTATATATTTGCTTCTTCTTTTTGTCTTTACATATATATATATATATAAATGTGTGCGTGTGTGTGTGTGTGTGTCGATAATCCTCAATTGTTTTTTCGTCTTATTGTATATTACAAGAAAAAAAAAATATTCACAGACAATCTTTTTACCAAGTTTCTTCAAGCATCATCAATATCTAAGTGTATGTGCATCTATGTCAATAATCAGATTAATATACGTCATCAATCCTTTTTTTTTGTCTCTCTCTCTCTCTGTCTCTGCATTCTGGTTAGAGAGAAAAAGAAGGAATGGAGTAGTAGTAACAGTACTGGTGCATGACGATGATGATGTCTTTCTTTTTCTTTTTCTCTACTATCATCGTCACCAACGGCAGCATATCCTGTCATAATACAGCAAAGAAAAAAATTATCTAAATAAAAATGGTCACGCCAACAATGGTAGGCTATCATAATCGTAGATAGTATTGACATTATTTAATTCGTATTTTCTTTTATTAGTTTGATAATAATATATCATGGATTCAACGAACATTTAAAAAACGTGAATGTATGAAATTTGTTCTATCAAAAACTAATCAAGATATAGGACGATGTTGTTGTGGAAGATATTTACATGAACATAATGAGAATGTTCAAATAGAAGCAAATAATATAAATTTTTTATCAGTTAATAAAGACGAACGATGGTCTGTACAGAAACATACACGATGTGAACCAACAGATGCTTTTGGTGTCATTGAGTTCGAAGGTTTAGCACATCCAACAAAAGCTCAAGTAAGAAAAAAGAAAGTATAGATTATAATTTATTCTATATATTTTAAAGTATTTACGTGTTGCACACGATACACGACCAGATTTAATATTAAAATTATTTTTACGTGTATGGAATTTAAAATTACCACGTCTTGTTATATCGATTGATGGTGGTATTGCAAATTTTGAATTACAACCAAAACTTAAACGTGTATTGAAAAAAGGCCTTTTTCGAGCAGCTAAAACAACAGGTGCTTGGATTATAACAAATGGATGTCAACAAGGTAATTCATTATTTTAATTAATTTTTATTTGATTTATGAAAAATTTATAGGTGTTGTTAAACATGTTGGCGATGCTTTGTTTTCTAAATCACCAAAAGCAAAATCAGATATTGTCTGTATTGGATTTTCACCATGGGGTGTTATTGAAGGACGAGAAAATTTAATTGGTGTTAATGTAGGAAATAAGATCGAACAAAAGAAGAGAAAAAGAAAACAAACTAAAATTTTAATTTATTATTTTAGAAAGTTGTTTCATATCATTCAAAAGCAATAGCAACAAAAAATAATGCAACATTAAATAGTAATCATTATAATTTTTTACTTGTTGATAATGGGACAAATGGAAAATATGGGGGAGAAATTTTATTAAGGAAGCGTTTCGAAAGATTCTTATTGAGACAATCAAGTGTACATACTTGTTAGCTAATATTAAACTAATAAAAAATAATTCTATTATCTGTTTGTTTTATTTAAGCTGAACATTCAAACATTCCTGTAGTATGTGTTGTTGTCGAAGGTGGAACAAATACAATTCGAATGGTATTAGAACATGTTACAGATAATCCACCAGTACCCGTCGTTATTTGTGATGGAAGTGGTCGTGCGGCTGATCTGATTTCGTTTACACATCGATATGCTAGAGACGATGGGTATGGAAATTAAGATTTATTAACGAGAATGAAATATAAAAATTGAATAGTTAGAGACCATCTTTAAAGAACGTCTAGATAAAAATGGCATTTTTTAACTTCCCTGGGTGTTCGAATCGGACTGTCGGGTAGGCGAAATGGAAATTCTGAGTGGGTCCCGCGCTGATGCTCACGCCTGCGCGCGTTGCATACCAGCAAATTTCCCAAGAACTAAAAAGTTTCTTTTGTGTTCCTGCACCACTTCACAAACATCGGAATGGCGTAGGAGCGCGCTCCTCAAGAGGTAGCACAGACGTGATCATCAGTGCGGAACAAGTTTTGTCGGTCTCTGGCCCCGCGTAACAGTGCTTTGTCCAAGTCTCATATTTTGGGTGGGCGCCGCCCATTCAGCCCATCCGCTTTTCGCTGACTCTCCTTTATGAACGGCGCCCTACGAGAAGAAAAAACTCAATTATATTTCTAAATAGCATATATTGTCAATATAGTAAATATGAATCTATTCTGCTCTATTTGCTTGAATCAAAATCTTTGAAAAGAAATAAGAGTTTTTTTTATCAGACACATATAAATGTAATAACTCTCTATTGATCAATTAAAGCTACTTGTAAATTTTTTTAGAACAATGCCTGTTGATATTCAAGAACAACTAATACATACTATAATGAAAACATTTAGTTACACAAGAAAGCAAGCAAATAATCTCTTTAAAGAATTAATGATGTGCGTCAAAAAACGAGATTTGGTAATGATTAATCTTTTTTTTCTATTTTATTTGAGATTAATTAGTTTTTTTTTGTTTGGCTTTATAAAGATAACAATATTTCGTATGGGTGAAGAAGCATCACAAGATATCGATCTAGCTATATTAATTGCTTTACTTCGTAGTACATGTGTTTCATCAATAGATCAATTAAAACTTGCTCTAACATGGAATAGAGTTGATATTGCACGAAATTATATTTTAGCTGGTACTCATCAATGGCCGGTAAGAAGAAATAATTTAAAAAAAAACGAGAATTTTTCATATGAATAGAAATTAATTAGGAACAAGCATTAGAAGAAATAATGATGACTGCATTAGCAACTGATAAAGTTGATTTTTGTCGATTACTACTTGAAAATGGTATTTATATGCAAAAGTTCTTAACAATTCATCGATTAGAAGAATTATATAATACTGTAAGATTAATCTTTCATGATTATAATTATAGTTAAGAGAGTACTTTTTTTCATTAAAAATATTTTTTATGAACAAATTATTAACGGCGATGTTGTTCTGAAAAATAACATATTTTGATAAATTCAACATGTCGGAAGTTCTATTCTATTTCCTTGTCAAGTTCCGTTCATATTTAACCATCTTTTGAGACACAAAAAAAATCGACCTGCCTTTTACTTAGATTTCATATCAAGCAGAATTAATATTGACGTACATATCCGGAGATAAATTTGTCTCCTTACCCGTTTGCTAATGTAATCATGCGGATAAAGTAAAGATAAAAATATAAAATGTACTTATGTATTCATCAATGTAAAATGTTAAAAGAAAAGTGATAATCGGATTAGAAAATTGGTTATTCAATAAATCAACATAACAGATGTCATTCAATTGACTCTTGAGAAAATACTAAATATATATCTATGTATCAGCTAACAGAAATCAGTAAATATTTATAATTGTATAGCGTTTTTTTTTTGTATGTCATATAATGCTGAATAAATATTGTGTCTTATATAAAATAGATTCGAAAGCTTATTTAACTAATTCTATTTTATTTGTAATAAATGATTGAATGTCAATAATTTGCAGCATATTTGTTTTACAACATATGAGATACTATAGAAAAAATACGTCCATATTAATTATAATCATGTGTTTGTTGAGTAACTATATTAGATATTAAAATTAGCCTTTGGGGACTTTTATTTGTTTTATTCTAGCGTGATGGTCCTCCAAATACTCTTCAATATATTGCAAAAGATATTCGAAAAATTCGCAAGGTTTATTTCGTATTTAGTTATTTCCCTATTATTTATTTCTTGAATTTTTAGTCAGCTATAATGAGTGCATATACATTACCTGATATAGGTTTAATCTTTGAGAAATTAATGGGTCATGGGTATCGTTCAAATTATACTCGTCGACGTTTTCGTACACGTTATGCAACTACGTTAAATCAATCGTATGCATTACGATCAGTAAGAATTGAAATTTAGTAAAAATCAATTCAAATATTTTTCTATCTTATTTGAAAAGTTTCATAAAAAACCAGTTAATACTGTAGCAAAACCAGTTGATGATACATTTCAATATCCATATAATGAATTACTTATATGGGCAGTGTTAACAAAACGACATCAGATGGCTTTATTCTTTTGGGAACGAGGTATTAACAAAAATTTTATGTTAATTTTATAATTATCACTTTTCCTTTGCATAGGTGAAGAGGCAATGGCGAAAGGTAAGACTTTTTTTTTGAATTTGTTATAATTGAATTTACTTTTGTAGCATTAATTGCATATAAATTAAATAAAGCACTAACACATGAAGCTAATGATGATGAATTAGAAATTGAAGTTGCAACTGAATTGTCTAGTTATGCAGAGTAAGTTATTAAAGCGTGAAATCGATCCTTCAGGGGAAGTAATACCTTTCTTTGTGCTCTTCTAAATTTTTCATGGGAAGCAATTAAGCGTAAGATTGCGCCGCCGGAATGTTGCTCAAATTCATATGACTAGCTAAGTTTTACCTTGATTATTTAGAAAACGATGGCAATTAGGAGAGGCAAGAAGCTTCTCTTCGCAGATAGGGTGCGCCGTCTATGAAGATGAGGAACTTTGTCTTCACAAGTCGTGACCATTTGAATAGATTTATCTAACAATGTATTGAGTTTGAATCATTGGATCTAGGTATTTATACCTTTTGGGGTTTGATTACAATTAATCTCTTTACATGGATGAATAAGAGATGGATATATTCTTCATACTGATACTCTTAAAATAAAATATATGTTACGTTGAATGTGATCACATCTAACCGTGAATCTTGATCTGGACTCGAACTCAACATATCTCTAAATTCACTGTCTATGATTTTAAATGTACTAAAAACTGCATTGTATAAAGAAAGAATTTTTTGTAGAGTAATGATATTTATATGCCTCAAATTTTCGATAGTACTCAATCACAATGGATTTTACATTTTCGCAAAGTCTCTGAATCATTCACAACTATTCTCTTATAAATTATTTTAGTTTCTAATCACGTACGAATATATATATATATGTAAAACTGATTAAAATTAACACTATACCACCTATTGCTAAGAAAACTAAAAATAAAATAATGCACGATCTTCTAGACACAAGCATTTATGTATAATTACAATTAGCTCATGATGTTTGTTTGTCTTTTTCTAGACAATTCCATCAATTAGCTCTTGGTGTTCTCGAACAATGTTATCGTGAAAATGCTGATAAAACATGTCAATTATTAACATATGAATTAAAAAATTGGTCTGATTGGACATGTTTATCATTAGCTGTTATATCCCACCATCAAGAATTCGTTGCACATAAATGTTGTCAAACAATTTTAAATGATTTATGGATAGGTGGAATGTCAATTCGACGTTATCTTAATTGGAAAGTTATTGCTTCAATATTATTTTTTCCACTTGTACTTCGTATTGAATTTAAAAGTGCTGAAGAATTAAAATTACAACCAAAAACACATGAAGAACATTTAGCAACACAAAATCAAAGTGATCCTGATGAAGACGATGATGACGATGATTATAATAGTGATGATTATAATTCAGGAACATTATCAAATGATTATACACATTGTCGTTTATCCGATGAAAATGATTTAAGAAAAACTTCAATAATTAATAATGATGTATCAGTTGATTTTGTTCTTGAAAATAAAAATGTTGATAATCAATCAATTGAAATGGTAACATTTAATAGATCATCGACAAATTTAAAACAAACTTTATCAACACCAACACATCAAACAGATGATATAATTGATATTAATACTGAAACATCGAAAAAAAACGGATGAATTAACTATTTTAAATGAAAGTGTACATATAAGTATTCCATTATCATCATCACTTTCAATAACACAGCGTTTCTATGAATTTTATAATGCACCAATAACTAAATTTTGGTATAATGCGATATTTTATCTTCTTTTTCTTTTTCTTTTTACTTATATGGTACTTGTACGTACACCATTAAGACCAAGTATTGCAGGTAAATATTGTCATCAATGATTTAATTAAATTCTCAAAAAATTCTTTTAGAATATATTGTAACTATTTATTTGGCAACATCAGCAATTGATACAGCTCGAGAAGTTTGTGAATTTTATAAAGAATTTATATGATTGAATAATTTAATAATTCTAGATATGTACAAGTTCTTCACCACGTTTTCGACGTAGATTAATAGTAAGAAAATTTTAACTTTGCTATTAGCTAAAATAAAAACTTGACCTCATAATTTTTCTCAGAGAGTCTATTGATTCATAGTATGATCGAATAACCTATGGGAAATACTAAATAATTTTCATCGGCCTTCAGTAGTAAAACAACAAATCGACGTGCTATAGCCGGAAATTTCATAAACAATTAAACGATGATGTTACCGCCTTGTAATGAACTTGTATTCCCGATTTTAATAACCAGGAGGTAGTATCACATTTCCTATACGATAATGAAAACGTGAAATTAACAAAGTTTTTAAAACAGAGACGGAAATATACGATCCCGCAAATAATTGACTGATTGGCAATTCCATTAAAAAGCTAAAAGCGATTGAACTTCCGAGTTTATGATAAAGCGAAATAAAAATGAAGACTCAAATGCTGAATCTATAAGATAATAAGCTTATATGTTATTTTCTTACTTTTTAGTTGTATTTCTCTGATTTTGTTCATATATGCGATTCATTAGCAATACTAGTCTATGGTATTGGATTTCTTCTTCGATTTCGTTCAAGCACTCTATATATCGCACGTTTATTATATTGTCTTGATGTATCTTATTGGTGGATACATTTATTAACATATATATCTGTACATAAATCAGTTGGTCCATATATTCATATAGCTGCACAAAATGTAAATTTAAATTTTTTCTAAAAATAATAAATTCGAATTTTGTTTGATTTAGTTGATTGATTTATTTAATTTTATAATTATTATACTTGTTGTAATGGTATCATTTGGAGTATCTCGTCAAGCAATTAAATATCCAAATGAATTATGGTCATGGCGATCAGTTAAAGAAATATTTCTTGAACCTTATTTTATGGTATTTCGTCTTTTTTTTGTTAAATAAATAAAATTTAAGGAATATGTTTTTTAAAGATTTATGGTGAAGTTTATGCTGGTTCAATTGATCCACCATGTCTTGAAAGTGAACCAGATGCTCCCCAATGTATGCCATTTCATTGGGTAACACCAATAACTATGACAGCATATCTTATATTTTGTAATATATTATTACTTTCAATACTTATTGCAACATTTAATAATACTTATATACGTATATCAAAATCATCGGATCAAGTATGGAAATATCATCGTTATTATATTGTACTTAAATATGAATCCAAACCAATGTTACCACCACCATTAATATTTATTTCTCATATATATTTATTAGTAAAACTTTTTTTACGATATTGTCGTGGAAAAAAATTCAAAGTTGATCATGGATTAAGTACGTTGCTTCAATATGAAATTCGATTATTTTTATTTTCATATGAACCTTTTTTATTTAGAATTATTTTTAAGTGAAAAAGAAGTTGCTGAAATCAATGATTTTGAAGAAGAACAAATTGATGAATATTTTGTAATGAAAGATCGAGAAAAAAAGAATACAACTGCCGAACAAATTGCTCGTACATCTGAACGGTAAGTTATATAAACAAACAAAAAATCACTTCTTCTATTTTTCTTGTAATTTAATCTTGTTTTTTGTTTATTTAGTGTTGATGGAACAGTTTTGCGTGTTGATGATATTTATCAACGTGAAACTCAAAATCGTATTATACTTCAAAATCTTGATTGGCGTTTACAACATTTAGAAGATCTTAATATGAATATGTATAATATTATGGAAAGATTACTTTTAACACGAATGTCTGATGAACAAGATTCATCATCATATTATTTTCATCATCCATCATCTGTAATTAATAATAATAATAGACAACGACGACATTCATCCATAACAGGATATGAATTAAAAGATTTTAAAAAGAAAATAATACCTAAATCAACAACAATGACACCTCAATTATCATTAGCAAAAACTCGTTCACCCACAGCTGATAATATATCATTATCAAAACAATCGAATGAACTCAAAAGACGTTCAACAATTCATCGATTAAGTTCGTTAACATCGCATGATTCAAATATAGCACATGTGCAAACTAATGAATATACTTCAATAACAGATAGTTAAAATTTTAGTTTTTTTTTGAAATTTAATTCAATATTTTCTTTGTTTCTAGTTATTAATACAAATCAATCAGAATGGCAACCAACAAGTCCAATACTTCTTCGTTCTTCAGCAAATCGTCCCAATCCAATGACATTATACGAATCAGCAAAAGAAGATATTGCTGGTTATGATGCTGAAGAACAAACACATAATTTAATTGGTGAACTTATACGAAAACGTAGTCAAAAATCATCAAAAAAATCAATTAAATATTATAACAGAATCTTATTGTGATAGTGATCGTATATCTCTTTTTTCAATGGATATAAATGCTAGTTCATCAAATCTCAATTTAGAACAAACAGATGCAAAAAACTAACATGCAATATTTTTTATGTTGTATTTTAGAACAGATTTTATATTTTAAAATAAAAATTTTGTCCTATAAATTTCTAGCTATTGATTACATAATGAGTTCTTTATCTCAACTATTTTTAATAACACGTCAGTTGTTCTCTTTTGATTCGATTTTACAGATACTCAAAAATGATGAATAATATTATCTATGTATACACACGAACAATACTTGGCCATCTCTCATTCTTTTGTTTCATCATTACTTCGATTTTTTTAAACATACGAATAAAACGTCAGTCAATTCTTTTCACTAACAATGCCATTAGCTCGTTTCAATCTAACAAGTGTTCTTGCATATGTTATTATTGGATTAAGTTTGAGTGCACTTCTTTTTGCTATAATTTCTTTAACAACAACACATTGGATTCATACAATACGATTACGAGCTGGACTCTGGCAACTTTGTCATTTACAACCATTAACATGTTTTATTTCAATAGTACGTTCACCTGCTGCTTTATCATTAACAGGATTTTTTTTAATTATTATTGGTTTAATATCAACTTTTATTTTTAATATTATTAATTGGCATTTACCATCATCAATTCGATTTATTTCATTAATATCTGTTTGTTCATTAGGACTTGGCGGATTTTTTTTTGCTATGAGTTGTGTTGCATTTTCTCATATCGCTGCACAATTTTGTTACTCGTATTATTTAATGATTGTTGGTCAATTACTTGCAATGTGCGCAGCGATCGTAGCAAGTTATTTAGAAGGACGACGAAGTGCATTAGTATCTACAACAGGAATTATGACTCGATTGGCCGTGCGTAGACCTTAAAACACAACCTTTTTTTTTTCTTCTTTCATTCTTACCGTTTCTTTCTTTCCTCTATTTTTACTCGTTTCTTTTTTTTTCTCTCTGCGGTATCTACGATACCATTCTAGCCTTCGCGCGCAGTGCAGTAGACTATTCAATGAATACATGTCGTCGTACGTTTAATTTTTTTTGTACAGCCATGCATGTTACGCCCGAGTGGTAAGAAAAGACAGTATCATCAATACACAAATAGTCAGGGTTTTTTTCCTATACTTTTTGTTTTATAAAATATACTTGTAAGAAAACTAATTTAAAATCTAGTTCGTTGTTAAATATTTACTAATCAATCTGAATTTGTTTTTCATTATTCTTCTTTTTTTTTTCATCCTAGATGTCTCATATATATATAAGTAGAAAATTTAATCAATAGAATATTATTCATGTCGTACCCATATTCTTCAAAAGACATTCAAGAATTGGACAATCGAGATTTATCTGCTAATATTTTATCAGCATCAATGAATCATCCAACTGAGATTCCACCACCAACACAACTTGCTAGTAGACGTGTTGTAAATTCATGTTTTTGGTCAACTATTATATTTGCAATAAATTTTGTTTCATCAATTCTAGTTATTAATTTAGCTAAATGGTAAAATTGTTTTTTTTTGTTTATTTTTGATCAAAAAAGAAAATTTTCTTTTATAGGATTTACGTTAAACATCATTTTCCTAATTTAACTTTAACGACAATAAATTTTTTCATGACCTATCTTCTTTTACTTGTGTGTTTACAACTAAAATTATTTACTTATATTAAATTACCAATTTTAAGCATGATTCCTGTATCAGCCTGTTTTGGTGGCTTTATAGCATTTAGTAATTTATCACTTCAGTACAATACGGTTGGTACATATCAACTTATCAAATTACAAGTCACACCAAGTAAGTAATTTTATCTTTAGATAAATATAAAATCTCGGATTAATTAAAAACGTCATTTGTATCTTTCTTTTGCATACGTATCTATTTGAAAAACGACATTTATTTTATCAGATAAATATAAAAAAGTAAATATTATAGTACAGAACTAGAAAAAATAGATAGTTTGTCAATTTTCATCATATATATTCAACCCCTAAAGAAATTTCTTATTCAATCCATGAATCGATGCATTTTAATGTTGATTTAGTTCATAGCTTGAATGAAAAATATCCTATAAATAACTCGAGAAGTGAATATGTTCCAAAAAAACTAAATCCTGATATTAATAATATTGTTTTTATGTCTTGTAAGTGCAGTATACTCACATGTTTTAAATCACGACATATTTCTTCCAGTAAAAAAAAGTAAAGCATATGTGATGAAGATTAACAAGTTGTTGACATTGGTATTTATTTATGCCCACGTGTTCGAATAGTATTTGCAGTAATAAAATACTTGAAACCAGTATTAGTGAATATATTTTGATAGATATTATTTATAATATCAATGTGAAACATTAAAAGAAGAAATTCTTCTATGATCTATTAAATAAGGATGACGTTTTTAATTGTACGAAGGACTATTTTCAATAATTAAATATTCATAAATTCAAGCTCTATAAAAAAAACAAGTAACAGCTGTATTATACATAAAAGAATATCAAATAGACTATTAAAAATCTATGCTTGGATATTGTTTTCTTTTTATGCATGAATTATAGATTTTGCGTAATAAAAAAAAGCGATATCGGCTGAGAAGTAACTTGAGTTCGAATATTAATGACGATCTAGATATTCTATCGAATTTCGATACTAAATCTACTGAAATTCGATTTGTCATTTTACTGAGATATAATTATATAAACTCTTGAAATTAAAATTCAATTCCTTAGACTGTTTGTATAGCATAATATTTAATATTTTATCTATTTGTATCCAAGTGGTGCTAATTTAAATATTTCTTAATTATATGTAGATCATTATTTTAATGAGTAAATTAAAATAATGAGGCAACGTCAATTATACTTTTAATATAGGTGAAGATGAAAATAATATTAATAGCAAAAAAACGGAACGTTCGTATACACAGGGTATCATAATATTTTGAAAAAAGTGTTCGCCTATTTCTAAATAGCATCTCGTTCACCATCATCGACAAATATTTTAAAAACGTGCTTGAAAAAAACATCCTGTACGACAGCTCAAAAAGATAAGACCCAGAATTAGAAGCTAAAAAATAGAAGCATTGTAATTTGATAATTTTAGTTGTTCCATTATTGTAAAACATTGTTAATAAGCTTGTCAGTTTCATAGTCTTACTATAATGTATATAGATTAAAGAATTCAAAATCAATTTTTGATAAATAATGATAGAGAGATCTACACTGTAATTCTTTTGTTTTGATAAGACTGAAGCATTTTTAAACTTTATTATTCATTCGTCAAATATCAAAGTTCTAGAAAATGCTTGATTTTATACAAAGTAGAAACTCATGTATCTAGCGCTATATTAATAAGATTATAGTTTGCGTGACTACTCTTTCATCTTCTAGGTCAAATTTTGAAAGAGTATAATATCTCACGAATAGTCACATTTATCATTGCATATACATTAAAATTTGCTTCATTATATTTTTTTCTTTCCTTATAAAATAACATATCATGAATTTATCTTAATCAGATATTTATTTCTATTTTAGCTGTCATGTTAATCAGTTGGATGTTTTTTAAAGCTCATTATCCATTACCTATTGTTTTATCATTTCTTCCAGTTTTCATTGGAACATTAATTAGTACTTATTATGATTTACAATTTAATATGTTCGGTCTTTTTTGTAAGTAAAAGATTATTTCTTTTTTTTGTAATATTTTTTTTTTCTCAATATTATTCAGGTGCATTGACATCTATGATGTTTACCGCTGTCTATCAAATACTTATTGAACATTATCAAAAAGCTTATAACTGTGATTCATTACAATTATTATTTTATCAAGCTCCACTTTCTGGTTTATTACTTCTAATGGTTGTACCATTCTTCGAACCAATATCTGCATTAGATAAATTTATGAATTTTGATACTATTTCATTGATATTATGCTGTGGTGTTGTTGCATTTTTTGTTAATTTTACAATATTTTGGGTTATTGGAAATTTATCTGCTGTTGCTTATAATATGATTGGACATTCCAAAACTTTATTAATTATATTTATTGGTTCATTTATATTCCACGAACCACTTAATATACGACAAGTATTTGGTTTATGTTTTACAATGATCGGTGTATTTGTTTATTCATATTTTAAATATATTAGAAAAGTTACTAAATAAATCAATTTATCGAATACTTATTTTTCAATATCTAGTCAATGGAATAAAACGTTGTTTTTCATTGAACTTTTATTCGTATTTTCTGTGATCTTATGTTCAAATGTTAGAGTGTTCAAAAAAGAATTTTTTTATCTGTTATTCTTTTTATTCATTTCATAAATTATTTATTCTGTTAGTTAATCAATTGACAAAATTCTAAGACATGTAATTTTTTAATATTGTTTCAGATGACAACAACAACAACATCATCATCATCATATGCAATTGGCATTGATGTAGGAACAGGAAGTGTTCGTTGTATGATTTTTGATGATAAATGGTCACCGGTTGTTCAATGTCAAAAACCCATTCGTGTGAGAATTATAACTTTGAGGAACTAATTATATTCTAAATATGATCATCAAAAATAGCTCCTTGAAATTACCACAAATCTCTGATAAATACATGGGTTATTACAGCTAAAAATTATGACTAGAATTAAAAATAGATACACATTACGAATATGCAGGAGTTATTTTTGTCCAATAATTCCACAATCAATGTACACATCAGATAGTATCAACTGTATTTTTATTATGACGTTTAAGAATCATGCGCTACTAAACATAGATCATATATATAAATATTCGAGCTCAGTCATTTGTCATTACTACATAATACAAAGTAGCCATAAGTTCTTGAATATATTAACTGTGTTTTATCTAGTGGGTGGGCGACGCTTACCCGAAATTTCAATTCACCCACCCAAAATACGAGACTTCGACAAAGCACTGTTAGCCGTTGCCCACCGATAGTTTTTATTTCGCCCATCCGGCAGTTCAATTCGCACATCCGAAAAAAGAAGCCTGGATAAAATACTGTATATTAGACTATTTGAATTATTCGATTCTTAGTTTTATATAGGATAAATCAAATTCTTTATTTTATAGACATTTCATTCGTCATCTGCTCCACTAGAATATGAACAATCATCAGCTGATATTTGGGAAGCAATTTGTTATTGTGTTCGAAAATGTCTTGAACTTGGTTCATTTACATCTGAACAAATCGGATGTATTCGTTCGATTGGTTTTGATGCAACATGTTCACTTGTTGTTGTTGATGAAAAATATGAACCTGTTAGTGTTTCACTTTCCGGTAATGATGAACAAAATATAATTATGTGGCTTGATCATCGGGCTCATGCTGAAGCTGCTATTATAAATTCAAGTTCGGATGAAGTTTTAAAAAATTTTGGTGGTAAAATTAGTCTTGAAATGCAACCAGGAAAATTAATGTGGCTTAAACGTAATTTATCAAAAGAACAATGGGCACGTTCAAAACATTTTTTTGATTTACCTGATTATTTACATTTTCGTGCAACTGAACAATTCGATCGTTCATTTTGTTCATGTGTATGTAAATTATGTTACCGTTCATCTGAAAGCAAACATGGATGGGATGAAAAATTTTGGTCAAAATTTGATTTAAATGATTTAATGGAAAATCAAAGTGAAAAATTAGGTCAACTCGTTCGAAAACCATTTTCAAAATCGGATACAGATATTTTAAGTAAAAAAGCAGCTGGTGAACTTGGATTACCACAAGGTATTCATGTTGGTTCACCATTAATTGATGCATATGCAGGAGCATTAGGTGGATTAGCATGTAAATCTCCAATACCTGATACTCATCTTTCAGAACGATTAGTTATAGTTGCTGGGTATTTAAAAAAAAAAGATTTTAATTGAATTTTTCATGAATAATGTTTTTCTTTTAGTACATCGAGTTGTTTTATGGCATGTAGTGAGAAAGCAGTTTTTGTTCCAGGAGTTTGGGGTCCACATTATAATGTACTCATTCCTAGTCTTTGGCTTAGTGAAGGTGGTCAATCAGCAGCTGGAAAATCTATTGATCATATCATACAAACACATCCAGCTTATAATGAATTACAAGAATTAGCCAAAGAAAAAAATACAAATACATTCAATGTACTTAATGATATTTTAAATAATTTACAAAAAAAATATAAAGTTGCAAATGTATCATTATTAAGTGGTGATCTACATATGACTATTGATTTTCATGGGAATCGTTCACCATTATCTGATCCAGAATTAGGTGCTGCAATGACTGGTCTTCGTTTTGATACATCATTAAATAATTTAGCAATACAATATTTAGCTGTTCTACAAGCTGTTGCTTATGATAGTCAACATATAATCGAAGCAATGACTAAAGCTGGTCATCATTTCCGTGTCGTACAAATTTGTGGTGGTTTAGCACGTATACCATTATTAACACAAATACTTGCTGATGTTATTCAAATGCCTGTTTATGTATCTGATGCAACTATTGATTGTGTTCTATTAGGTTCAGCTATATGTGGTCAATTAATAGCTGACAATGCCCATCAAGTTGAAGATTTACTTAATGGTATAGCTTGTCCAATTGAAATTTATAAGCCCGATAAAAATATGATTGATTTTCATAAGGATAAATATGAAATTTATCGTTTATTACAAAAAACAGAAATTGAAGGTCGTAAACGTATGAGTAAATACTGTCAAGCATAAGAAAATCCCCGTGATTGTTTTTTTATCTATTTTCCGTGCAATTATACCAATGATTGATTACTATTTTTTTTTACTAAGATTTTCATTTGATTAGTATATAGAATACATCTATACCACATTTTTAAATTATATTGTAGATTTAAAGAATTTTTATTATGAATAAAAATGATATCGAAAAAGTATGTGATTAATTTTAATATTGAAAAAAAAAACTAAAATATACTGTTGATATTTAGCTTTTTCGTGAATGTGATAGAAAAGGGAAGGGATATCTTGATCGAGAAGATATTAAAGTAGCAACAATTCGACTTTATGGTTTAAAAATGGATAAGGTAAATAACAAAAAAACAATTTCATGTATATATTGATTTTTTTTAATAGTTTAAAATTGAACGATTACTTTCAAATATTCCAAATCGAATTCATCCAGGTAAGAAAGTTTAGAAAAAACAACCCTAAATATTTTTATATATGTTTTAGGTTTAACATTAGATCAATTTATTGATTTTGTATATAGTTATAAACATCAAATTGATCATGAAGATGAAAATCGTGAAACATTTCTTATTCTTGATCGAACATGTATGTAATTTATTTGATTTTAAAAATAAAAATTAATGAATTAATTATTTAGGTAAAGGGTTTTTGAATAAAGATGATTTCATTCGTGCTTTTGAACGTTTGAATATCAAATTAAATCCTGACGCAATTGATTCAGCTTTTAAGTATGTTTTATAAAAAAAGTATTTAATTAATAAACATACGAATTTCTGTTTTTAATTCTAGACAACTTGATGTTGATGGTGATGGTCGTATTAGTTATCGAGATTTTGATTTTATGATGAATTACGTAGCGGAGGAATGATATGTTTGTAATGATATAGAATAGAATGTAATAATCTGCTTGTTTTTTTTGTTTAAGCAGACTAAAAATAAAATAAAAATTTATGTAAATTTTAATTATGCAGCTATTCTATCAATGACATAATCAGGAATTTCTAAACAAAACTAGTTAATAAAATGAGTTATTAAACATTGCTTGAATAATAGTTTTTCTAACGTTCAAATAAACACTTTTTGTCTCAGACGTCCTTGGATTCTATAAAAAAATATCACGAGTACAAAATAAAAAAACATGATTTTTGGGACATCGGGTAACGACTCTGCCCCTGACTACGCCACTCTGTTATATCGTTTCACACCATTTCTATCTAAGAAACTAATCATTATGAATATATATATATATTTGGTAAATATTAGTTTCGGAAGTGTCTCATGGTATGCTTGAATGCGTTTTAATATAAAGGTAAATATAAATTGTATGATTTGGTACTTGTATACTTACAAACGAAATATGACTCTTTCACGAATGTACGTATGTGTTATTCTTGTTGCTTTACTTATTACCTTGGATTTAACAGTTGCTCGTCGTAGACGAAAAGGTAAAATTTCATATAGTTATTAAAAAATTATATTTTTTCTTAATAATTTATCATAGCTTGTGATAATTCCAAAAATGAAATATATAGTACATGTGGTAATTTATGCAAACAAATGAATTGTCATAATCGAGCTAACAACGATACTTATCAACCATGTAATGATCAATGTAGACCAGGCTGTATATGTAAATTAGGCTATGTTCGTCATGAGCTTTTAACTGATCCGTGTATAAAAGATTGTTAAATTTTGTATATTCACTTTTATTACGAAAAAATAAATTATCCAGATTTAGATTTTACTAAGAGTAGTACAAATAATTGAAAAGATAAACTATCTGAATGTGATCTATTTACCTAGTAGTAAGGCTTAGCCAATAAAAATAATAAACACATTATTCTATCATGCATATCGAAAGTTAAGCCAGTATACTGTACGTATAATTGTGTTTGTTGCAATTATTATCGATTTCTATGATAATAGATATATTAGATTAACCTTCAAAATTCATATGATTCATTAGTACTAGCTATGTAATGAATAGTAACCTTGGTTTTCAATATTAGTTAAAGGAATTGTTTACTTTGTGTGAAATAAGAAATGATAATTCTGAAAATGATTTTATTTCAAGATCATGCAGATTAATAAAGAAGATTACGATGAGTAGCATGTATAATGATGATAATAATAACACAAAAGAAAAAAATCAAGCTACAAATACGAAAACAAAAGAAGAAGAAAAACAAAGAAAGCTAAGAGAAAATGAAATGATTTGCTGGTTTGTGTTTATAATCCTATTTTTATACATATAGTTTTATTTATGTTGATGCTTGACGTGCTTGTAAAGCTTGTGCAATTAATTGTCGTCTATCTTTTCCTTCTTTTAAACCAGTACGAACAAAATTTTCACAAAATTCTTCATCATCCTAATTTAAAAAAATTCAAATTTCATCAATAAAAACTAAACAAATCAACTATTTAACTTACATCATCATTACTGGTACATTCAATAATAGCTTGTCCACCTTTTTTCGGTTGATCACGTGTTGCAGCTGGACAATCTTTTACTAACCAACGACTAAGATTAGCATTTTTCGTACGAGTACGATCACGTGCACTACCAACTGCACCATCAACATTATCACCTATTTTATAAATAAATAAATAAATTTTAAAAAAGGAAAAATAATAGTTTTATTGTAACTCACTATAATGCATTGGTACATTAAGAGTATAAAAACCTCCATGATTACAAACTTGTACACGACCCGTATCGGAACATTCATGATCTTTAATTTCAACTTGATTTGGAATTATTGAATAAATTTTACCATTAAAATAACGGAATGAAAATTGTAAATTAAAAAAATCATGAGCTATGATATAATCACAAGCTGGATTTAAATAAATATAATTTCCATGTAGATCAATAGCATCACCTGTTTGAGCAATAATAGCTTTAAATTCAGGTGTTAATGATGGATTACGTTTCAATAAACGTTTGAGAAGTGAACGTAATGCTTTAAAAGAATTTTTAAGTTTTTCCATACGTGCTGTTATACGACTTTCTAATATTGAACGTATTGTATCATATGCTTGATCACGATTTCGAAGAAGACTACCAACTCCAAGTACTAATTCACTTCGACCAATATAACTACCTGGTTCACGACCAAGTGGTACTAATACTTCAAAATTTGTATTATTAATATATGCCTAAAATATTTCAAAAGAGAAATTTCAAATAAATTAAATTATATATATATTAATTAACCTTTGGAATATGTCGAATAGCATTTTTAACACGTTCACGAATAGCTTCTCGTCGTTTTGTAATACGTTTTGATAAATGTTGAAGATTACTAATAAATAATTTTGATGAATCACCTAATTTTTTAATGACTTTATCTGTTTCGGCATCAGCAGCTTTAGCAAATGCATCTGAATCAATATCAGCAACTAAGATTCGAAACCATTTATTTTCTTCACCTTTACTTGCATTATCAATAGCTTTAAATACTGCTTTCCATTGTTCAGTTTTTCGTTTAGAATATTGTTCAAATGTTGCTAGTAATTTTGTAATATAATTAGCTATACGTTTGTCAACATCAGCTTGATCTACTTTTGGTAAGAAACGATCGAGAGCTTTTTCTGCTTTATCTAATAAACGCTTGATTAATTCTGTTCGACGAGCTTGAGCACGTTCAGCTAAATCTTTTATACGATTTTCATCAACAATTGCTGCAATACGATTACGCCAGAATTCTTCACGTTCACGAGCACGTTCACGAAGAATAACAGATATACGATCTGATGCTTCACCAAACGTTGGATATTTTACAAAAAATTCCGATAAACCAAGACGATTACTAAATAAAGACATAGACAAATTAATACTGATTATAGATGTTTGAATAAAGAGAAATATTTACATCCACTCACACTCACTACCTATGCCTATAATCGTAGACCAGTGGCGTAATCACACTGGGGCTTAATCCCATCACTCGGATTTTTTAGTTACAGAATTTGTCAATCAAAAAATCCAAAAGACTAGACAGTTTTGAAACTGAGCCCCATCATCTTCAAATTTATGGTTACGCCACTATCGTAGACTCATCTACTATTCACCGATGAGTAACAATACACTTATAATGAATAATATATTTGTTACTTACGACCATTGTCGAAGAAAGCTCTTTTCTGGTTCCTCTTTCCATGTTGCAACAATTGCTTTGAGAGCATTATAATCTACATCCAAAATTGATCGTACTCGTTTACGAAAGCCTCGAACTAATTCAGCAAGATTTGTTTGATTTAAATCTTTTAATAAATGACTACGAAGAAAATGTCGTGTAAAATTCTATTAAAGAAAAAATAAAATAATAAGAAATATTTTCATGTATTATATATCTTACTCGAAGTTGTCTGGATCCTTCAATATTTCGATAACCTAAACTATGAAAAAAATAAATTGAACCAACTTGATGTCCATAATTTCTATCAACTTTCAAATCTGTTGTTGTTGTTTTACCACCATCAAATGAATGACTTATTTTTGCAATTAATCGATCTTCATTCCATTTATTTGTTGTTGCTTGAATAAAATTTCCATTAGCATCATTAACAATACGAATAGAATAACTTTCCGGTAATTGACTATGTTCTCGATGTGTTTTCCAATGTTGAATATTATAAACTGTTAATGGTGCATCACCTATTTGTAATTTAAATGATTTTTTAACTGTATCTAAACCATAGAGACCATTATGTGAACCTAATTTATTAAGAGCTTGAGAAAGTGAAATAATTGTATGAGAATCAAATGCTAATTCAACTAATGGTTTTTTCGATGTTGATCCTGCTTCATCAATATCATGTGATGGTCGATTTTGATTACGTAATGATGGCAAATACGAACGTATTCTTGCACGATCAACAGTTAATGTTGCAAGATTTCGTTGTTGAGGTTGTGTTTGTTTTAAAGTTACAACAGTTGAATTATCCCATTCAAGTCTAAAAATATATAAAATAATAATTTTCAAAAAAAAGTCCATATTATATCTTACTTAAGTTGAATATTTGATGGTGTAAATTTCATAGTAACTTCGTGATCATTAACTTTTACACTTTCGACACGTAAAACTTCTTTCGTTTTTTGTTTAACTACAATCGTAGCTGATTTTCCTGGTTGTCGTTTAATATTCCATGATGTAATTAATGTATATAATGTAAAATCTAATTCATTTGTTTTTTTGATTACGTGTACCTTCATATCCGAATCTTTCACCTTCAAATCGATTTAAATCAATATAAGCTTTTGATTTTCCAGCATTACGATCAACATCAATAGTTAATGTTGTTCGTTCACCTTTACAATTCACTGAGAAATCACTTGCATCAGGTCGATCAACATCACATTCATATGCTTTCTCAGCTGTTTTATCATTTGAATTAAATGAATATTTTAAAGTTCCATGAAAATTTGTTGGTGTATTACGTTTTTCATCATATTTAACTGATATAGGATTTTGTCGTGGAAAATTTGCTTTTAAATCAAGATTCATTGGTTCTTTATCATATCGTGGTTGATATGAAACATTTAAATCAACAGCATCTTCTTGTAAACGATTAATATCAAGACTACATGTATGTGGACCTGTTTTCGGATCAAATTTTAAATCTAATTTTAATGTACCATCATATGTGACTTGTCCAGCTGCATTTGATAATTTCGGATCCGGTGGTAATTCAAGACGTTGTCGAAGTCTTTGTGCTAATACATTACTTGTTTTTAAAGTAAATTTTCCTGTTTCACAAATACCCGTAAGAACATTTGATGGATTAGCATCTTTACAACTAACTGCATCACTTGCCCAATCAATAACAGTTAAACCTGATCGTTGAATATTAACATTAATTTTACGTTGAAATTGTCCCGAAAGTTTATTTGTTATTTTTTGATTAAAATTAATATCACTTGCTAAGACTTTTTGTCCAGTTTTTTTTATCTGCTATTGAACTTTGTAATTGAATATTATTCCATTTACCATCTTCTTTTTCAACTGAACCAGCATAATTAAATGAACGTTTATTATCAGCTTGTAAAGATTTTCCTTCAATTGTTGTTTTTGAACTAAAATCTTCATCACGTATACGACCATTATGTATATGATTAAATTTAAGTTCAATTTGTTCTGGTACTTTAATATCAATTTTAGCTGAACCACGACCAAGACTAACATCAAATGTACCTTTTTTACCCGCACCACTAACACCTGTTCGAACAGTTATATCACCTTTATAACAACGAGAAAATTTCTCGGTTGGTGTACATTTTTTCGCATCAATATCAGATATAATTGTTTGTTGTCCATCAGTTCGTTCTGTATGTCCAGTTAATGAATCATCATCAAAACCAATATCCATTTCATATTTATAATCTTCATCATTTGTTGTATTTATAATACCACGTACAATTAATTGATGTTGTTTTAAAAGTGCATAAAGTGAATTTTGAAATTCTTTATCATAAAATTTTGTAGCCGTTGAAATACTTATTTGACTTATTAATTGAGGATTATATTGTGCTGTTAATGAACCACCTAATGATATATCATCACCAATATTAATAGTATCACTAATATGAAGAGTTGTGTTCAGTGAACCTTTACCATAAAAATACATACTAATTGGTGTAATTTTTGGTGAAGCAAGTTTAAAACCAACATATGCATCAACAGTTCGATCAGCATCTTTATTAAACATAGGTAACTTGTAGGAAACATAAACTGCAGTTAAGTTTGATAATGGAGTACCAAATTCTAGATGAAATGTTACTTCTTGTGGCCATTTTAATTTTCCAATTCGATTTTCTCGATCAATAGTTAATTCACCAATAAAACTTAATGGATTTTTTGATATTTGTGGACTTGCTAATGAAAATGCAATTTTTCGTGTTTTATTTGAAAAAATATATCCAATTGAATGTTTATGTAATAAATCATTATTACGTTTAAAATAACCTTCTGTATGTAATTTTGACCAACGATGTACATTAATTTCTGAGAAACCATTTAAATTATCACCATTAGCACGTAAATATTCAACTACATTTTTAACATGTACACATGGTGGTTTTTTATCATCATCTGAACGATCAATATTAATTTGACCATAATGTGCAAAAACAGGCTTAGCAAGAAGTTTTGATTGAATATTTTTAACGCGTCCATTTGATGCTGTTCGTTGTATTATTAATTTATGTGTTATGTATGGAATATATTTAAATGGTAATGAAAGTGCAAGTTTTGTTTTTAATGAACCATCACCTGTTTGATTACGATGAACAATAACATTTAAATTAAGTTCTTTTAATTTTTTCTCACGACGAAAAGCAATTGAATTGTATGTTTCAAATTTACCTATTTGTTTAGTTAGATTACCATCAAGATCAATTAATTGAATTGATTCATGTTTAGGTGCACGAAGTGTGACATTATATGTGCCAATAAATGATTTTGGTGAATCTTTTTTAGGTTGTCGATCAAAACGAATATTTACATCAAGTGTAACATCATTTTTATCTGGTACAATATTTGTATCAATATCCCAATGTGTTTTTAATGAACGTGAATTTGTACAAATAGAAAAGCTACCAGTTGATGTGGCTTTTTTTTGTTTATTATCCCATTGTAATTCCGATTTACTTGTACCAGAAAATAAATGACCATCAGTTATTTTATCAACTTGACTATGATATGTAAATACTGCTGAACGTTGGCGACGACGAAGATCATATTGAAATTTATAATCAACTTTATTAAGTAATTCAAAATCAAGATCAGATAAAACATCAAATGCAAATGGACGTGGAATATCAGGATATAATTTATCTGTATCAGCAACTATATGAATCTTGTTATTAATATCAAATGTTGGTGGTGCATTGATAGGTCCTAAATAAATAATATACTGATTAAATCTATCATAGAAGTATTAATATGAAAAGTGAGAAATTAATAATTCGAATAATCGCAAGGGCCGTTAAGGTTTATCTTGAGGGTGAGGATGAGGGTGTGGGTGAGGATGTGGGTGAGGTGTGGGTGTGAGTGGGTGTGGGTGGGTGTGAGTGAGAGTGTGGGCGAGGGTGTGAGTGTAGATGTGACATAAGAGCAACACCCACACCCATCTACGCCCACCTACACCCACACCCACTCAGGCCCACACACACCCACACCTACACTTATTCTATTGACCTCACTAATTTCATCTTAATTTCAATGTTTCTCACCCTGATTGCTAATAGATATGAACTAACCAACTATTATAATATCTTGAATCTAAAAAGATAGAGATTTCTAACCTTTTTTCGATGCTTCGGAACTTTTTCGATGATGATGATCAAGAAGAAAATTAAAAACATTTGATTTTGTTTTAACTTGAACTTTTAAATTTGCTTCTGGTGATATTAAACGTTTTGCTTGACTATTTGGTTTTCTTGATTGTCGAATATAATCAACTTCAATTCGTTCTTGTACTGGTGGATTACGTGTTAATAATACAAAATCAAGTGAACTATGAAGTGTTGCATTTGATAAATCAGTTGTTCGAGTAAAATCTGATTTGAAATCAAAAACTTTCACGGGTTCATCACGTTGTGGTGTTCGTAATGATAAATGTGAAACTATATTACAATCATTTTTTGTTTTATCATTAGTATGTTTACGTTCATAAATAAAATCATAACCGTTTTGTGGTAAATTTTTACCCAATTTCATTGAACGACGTAATTCAATGCGTGTTTGATCAGCACTACGTTCAAGATGTACTTTACCATTGTAATTTAAGTCACCAAGAACAAAACCTGCATCAATATGCACCAATCGATTATTTGGTTGATATAAATCACCAAGAACTAAAATAGAATAGAAAATTAATTTTTCAAAAAAAACAAATAAAGAAATTTTACAATGAATTTTAAATGATCGAGCTTTATCTGGTGTTGTTAAAGCAATATCAGCTGTAAGACCTTTGCCACGATTTGGTACGATATCAGTTTTTAATGCTAATACTTCTTTTTTACTTGCAATATCAACAAGTTTAGTATCCAATTTAAATCCATCATTATTAATAACTAATGTTCCCGATGTAGTCATTACTTCTTTATCATCACTGGAATAAACTGTACCATCAAATTTATTACCCGTTTGTGTGCCTATAATATTTTAGAATATTTATACAAATAAAGAGAATTGTTTTTTTTCGTACCTTTGATATAAAAGGATTTCATGCCAGTTAAAACTTTAATATCGAAATTAGTACCAGTTTTAGTTGCAGAAATTCCTAAACCTGAAATAAGAAATTATTTTATTGTTAGTATTAAAAAAAAACATTTCATTCTTTCATTTACCAGGATAAGCAGTAGTTGCACCGATACTTTGAACAGCAACTTCATATTGTGGAGCATCTTTTGCATCAAAACGCCAACCAATACGCCATTTTTTAATTGATGGATCTTTGTTAAGAGTGATCTATATATTTTAAATAGAAATGAATATATAATGCCATATAAAAACTCTTAAAATATCAATTGGAAACTTACAGTAATTGGATACGAAGGTCGAGAACCAAGTTGAATTGAACGGAATGGATTAAGTTCTAAACATGCTCGAATACCCAATGCACGATAGAGAGTACTTGGTGTACATGATGGATCAATGCTAGCAGATTTTCTATTTGCAACATCTTGTACACCTTTTGACGTACGTAATGCATATTTAAAACTACAATTTAAAGATAAAAATGAATATTTAACAGTAACAAAAGAAAAGAAAATTGTTTACTTGGTTGCAAGGAGTGTTGATTGTGTATTAAGAAGATTAAATTCCCGTGTTCGTCCATTTTTATCTGCAACAGCTGTATAATCAAATGGTACATTGGATAAAACACCAATTTGAACTGTTTCTCCAAGACTTGTCAATGGTGATGATACTTCACGTTGAAATGTAAATGATAAACTTATCCTTTAAAAAAACATAGATGTATATTTATAATTTCGAAAAAGAACGACATACGCTGAATGACTTGTTAATTTAAATGTTCCTGAACCTGCACTATCTCGTGTATCTTTAAAATCAGCTGTTAAATCAGCAAGTATACCAAGTTGAGCTGATTTATATAATGTTAAACCATTCGCAGCTGCTGATGCCGCACCTATTTCTAATGGAATACGAAATATTGGATTTTTTCCAGCAAGATCTTTGAATTTATTTAAAACTTGATTTCGAATAAATGTACGTAAATTACTACGAAGTAAATCTTGAACTTTATCTGTAATATCACGTGAACGTATATCAGCACCAAATAATTTCAAAAAAAGATGAACAGATGGATCAGGATCTTCATCTTTATTATCATAAGTCTACAAGAAAAAAAACAATGATTCTTTTTTTTTATGAATAAAACTTATTTTACTTCTTGTAATTTTTTTAAACCAGCTGGTAAATCTTTTTTCGTTTTTTCTTTATATGTATCATCAACATTTTTATTTGTATTTAATGGATCTAATCGATAGAAATAATCTGCAAAATTCCAATCAAGATTTTCAATAATTAATGCTACTTCAATCCATGGTAAACGAAGAGTTTCACGACGTATACCATCAAATGCAAGTTTACCACCGATAAATGATGGAACAGCTCGATCATTTTCAAATACAACACATAAATGAATGACAGCCCGATAATTTCGACGAAGTGGTAATTCAATTTGAATTTGACGTGAAGATAATGTTGCTTGTTCTAAGAATTGTTTTTTATTGCTATGATGAGCTCGGAGACGAGCAGCAAGACCACGTAATGGACAGAGACGATCAAGAACTGAATATTTTAATGCTGACCAAATAAATCCATTAACCTATTTATTCAATAACACAAAAAAATGTAATTAAATCTTTCGTATTCGATTGAAAAAACTTACTTGATTAAGTGGTTGATCGAGTATTTCTGAAAGTGCCTTTTCTAAATTATCTCCTAATGTTGAATCATCTTCTTCTGGATTGTAAATAAATGATGTAAACAATGCTTCAAATGCCCATACACGTACAGCATTTTTATTCGATTTATTTTGAAGTATTTTCAATAAAAGACTTTGAAGATCTGTTCGAATTTTAACTTGATTTGCATCATCAATAAAATCATCGCATATATGACGAATAGTATTAAGAGCTTGATATTGTACTTCTAATGGTGCTTTATCATTAGCAGCTAAAATTCGTACTTGATCATCATATACGCCCAATTGTGCATAAGCAGCTAACACAGCTGTTGTTACATTACTAGAATCTTTGGCTGGACTTTTTAAAAACTTTGAAATAGCTTTTTGAAATTCTTTAATTTTCTGAAAAGACGAAAAAAAAGAAAAGGAATATTGTAGTATATTCAATGAAACATACATCATTCGCATCTTTATTATTATCTTGTCGAGCTTTGTATGATTTGAGAATTGTTGCTGCAAGTACAACAAATTCCGGTACTTGTGCTGCAGTTAATTTCGTTGAACTTTGAACAATTTGTTTAACTAAATCTTCGGTTGGACTATCCAAGTAAAATACTGCTAATGGATTTGTAAATTTTAAAGTAGCAGGATCAAAATTGATTGATGAACCAACTGGATCATGTGAATAGATTTCTTTAAGAAATAATGGTACGACATTTCTATTAAACAGGAAAACAAGCAAAGAAACATTTTTGAAATTTTCGAATGTCATCTTACTTAATATCTGCATTTGCTTGAAAATTATGAAGATCAGCTTTACTCATACGTCTTAATTCATTAACTACTTCCACAAAATGAGATGAAGCAAATTGATCCCAATCATTTGATTTTAAAAGTCCTTGAATTTTTGAAACTAAATTTAAAACGACTTCATTTGATCTATCAAATGATGTTGTTGGATCATATTGAAGTGTTTGTCGAACAGCATTTTTAATTGAACCTTCAAATCATATAAAATATTAACTTTTCAAAAAAAAATACTAACTAATAGAATATACCTGCATCAACATTAACAACACTTGTTGTTTGTAGTTTTAATTCTTGTTTAATCGAAATAAGTTTTGATGAAATTTCTTCCTCATCAGCTTTGTCACTAAAATCATGATCATCTTCTTCCGATGAACTACTATCACTTCCATCAATATGATCATGATTATCATGTGTATGTTTATCAGCTGATTTTTTATCACTATCTGAATCGATTTCAATTGTTTTACATTTGACCGATTGAATTTTTTTATCACGAATTTCTGTTTGACATACATAACGTGATTTAGCTGAGAAAACTTCTTCAACCTAAAAATTAAATCAAAATTTTGTTTTGTTTTATTTTAATATAATATTTACAAGTGGACCAAGAAGTGAAGTTAAAACAGGACTTGAACTTAAATGTATTTTGTCTTTCGAACATGTTGATAGATCTTTATTTTTATTAATTTGTGTTGTAGCACCTTTTTGTGAATACTTATAACGTGTTGTACATACACCGAGTACATCTTCTTCACGTACCTTGAAATAAAATAAATTCTTAATTTTTTTTCCGAAGATTTTTTTTATTAAATATTTACAATGTTTTCACCATCAGTTGGTACAGGAGAGTACACTTGAAGTGCACTAAGTATACCTTTGATAAAATTAACATGATCAGCTTTAGCTGATGCGTCAGCTTCAACAGCAATAAGAAATCCATCAACCCAACGACATCGAACAACAAGATTTTCGAGATCTTTTGTAGCGAGTGATGTTACTGGTGATTCAGTTTCATCTTGACTTTCGGTAATTTTAACATTTTTAAGCTGTAAAAAAATATTTAATTGTAAAAAAAAGAAGAAATAAAATTTCGAAATATATTACCTGAACTGCATAATTACAATCATTAAGATTTTTAATGTGTACATCAGCAGTGATCTGATTTTTTATATCATATTGACCATTGGCAACAGATAATTTCACTTCAGTTTTATATTTATAAACTAACGAACCTGATCCGATGTGCTCGTCTGGTAAGAATAAATAGATGTGATTA